GTGCATGAACTGCTTCAATGTAAATGGTCTTTAAACTGTATTGAAGCATGTAAATAAAATAAAATAAAAAATAAAATCATGACGTTTAGAAAAAGCGGGTTTAATAAAAGGTACAAGGGGTTTTATACAATCAAGCTATAGAGTAGAATGCCGAGAAAATTCAGACAAATATCAAACACTAGTGTCAACAGAGCTTCAAAGCTTACTACACTACAAGCAGGTTTAACATTAAGAAAGCAATGGACAAAAATAAATGACGATACAGGTACTTACTCTAACAGTTTTATAGCTAATATAAGAGCTAGAAAAACGATGCTATGCACAGCTACAATAACACCAGTTTAAATATTAAATCAAAATATCTCGCCCGGGGAGTGTCTACTCCTATAATATACTAAGGTCGAACCTAATGCAGCTCAACTCCGATAAAAGGAAAAATAAACACTATACTTTGGTAATTTATCCAATACCGAAAGAATTTACGGGACTAGCTTGTAATATTGGTTAGAATGGATCGGGGTGGACTACCCGTGGAATGAGTACGGGTTGTTCCAATGAAATTACTGTAGGTTAGATAGGCCTCTGGAACTCACCTGGTTGGAATGAATGAGTTCCCAAGGAAATGTCACAAGGCAGCCCTTCGTAGCTGACTAAGCTAACCTAACTCGTTTCGCCGTATTCAAAATAAAACTTGAATTAACTTAACGTTACCCTCTCTTTATGTATCATACTAGTCTGCTATCAAACTAAAATATAACCCCTTGATTTCTTGCAACTAATTAAATTCTATAAATTGAAAAGATAAGATTATTATAATTTACTGCCCTAATACCGATTTTAGGGAATGAAGGAGGTATGGATGTCCTGTGTTTGGAATCCCAAAGGACTTAATTTATTTTGGATCGTTAGGAATTATGGTTCTCGCTCGGAAGGAACTAGCAAGACCCCAAGGAATAACAAACTAAAGTAATCAAAATAATAATATATCTTTAAAATTTAAAATTAATTAATTTAATTAATTAAAATAAATAATAAAACACCACTGGTCTTGGTTGGAATAATATAATAAAATCAGAGAATATTCTTATTATTTACGACATAAAATATCTTACTAAAAAATATTAAAGGGCGGAATAATATAAGGGCGTCGCAGTTAGGGCAGTTTTGTTAGGATCGACGATCCTAGTCGCATGCTTCGCGGCTAGCAGGAATAAACGTGCAGGCAGCTTTGTACGCCGTCGGTCTTTGTAGGCCTGCCGACTCCTTTCTAATTCGTATTTCTACTTTGAAAAATTACATTTAATATCAATGCAAATAAGCTTTTATAGTCTTCACTACAAAATAAATTAAATGTTCTGTAAATAATAATTACAAAAATATTTCTGTAAAATCTTCTTTAATAAAATGTGAAACTAAAAAATAAAATGGTTGCTACAAAAAATCGTTATGAATGAAAAATGCTATTTCATCCCCCCTCCACTTTGAGGAGAAAAAAAACAGAACTTCTCTTGTTAATTACACCTACATATAAAAGTTTTTTTGTTTTTTTTCTTTTGTATTTTTTTTGTATTTGTATTTATTTTATTTATACTTTTTTGGGTTTTCTTTTTCCATAGTTTTTCATAATGTTCACATGTGACAAAAGCGGCGGGGTATTTTTACTTTCTGGCCATTCGGGAAAGTGATTGTTCTTTTCTTCTCTCTCTTCTTTTTTGGGCGAGCTGAAGCCGGGGAATAGTTTTCAGAAGTGGTTTCAGTTGTCAAGTACTCTGTCAAAAGTTCCTTTGTGGTCTCTAGCAGCCATTCTTTGTGGTGATCTCATTGTCGTCTCATTGTTCGTCGACCCAGGGTATCTCTTCCATCACCCCGTCATTGAGACAATCCGAAAGAGATGTTAACGAGATCGCAGATTCCATGACAAATAGAATATTTATTTTACTTAATTGCCAGTGGATAAACAATGTTTTATTGTTTTTTTTTTATTAGGTGTATAAATACAGGGTAGTCGCGAATAAGCGTTAAACTATTTATTGGGTATAAGAGGAGCATAAATGGAACTCGTAAACGTGGTTTAACACAATATATCTCATACACACCCCCAGAGATGAGTTTTAAGTTTTTTTTTCAAAAACTGGCATAATTGCAAAAATGTTGAATTTTTCGGGTTATTTTAAAACTTTCATCAACATATAACAGTACCATCGCGTTCTCCACAAAATTTTGTTTAAAAATACATGTACTTCAACTTGCCTAAATCTGCATAGCTACTTATTAAATTGAATAGAAATAAAAATTTGTGTTTTTCAAAAAAATATTTAAAAAATACGTAAACATAAAACTTTTTTTAAAAAAGGTTTTAAAGAGCAGTAAAAATACTCTTAAAAACTGCTCCATAATCTAAGCTTTCAAACAATACGATTAAACGTAATATTTGATCCCTATAAATGTCCGCTATTCAAGCTTGAATGGTGTAAAACACAGGTTATCCAAAACATTTTACTATAAAAACCGTTTTATATATAATATTACAGACTTGTTCATTATTATACATTATTAAATTATAATGAACAGCTGGTGGCCCCAACAATGATCTGGGGTTTCTCCGTTGTGTATAAATCACATGTTGACCTACATAAGACGATTCTGAGTGGTTTTTAATAGTGGTCACAACATGTTTTCCAATTAAGAATATGCAGAAATACATTTCGTCTATGGTTCTTGCAACGCAAACTCAAGTGAGTCTCAACGAGAGTACTCTCTTTGCTATGCTCTCCTCCTTACTGCTCTCCTGATCAGCGCGTCCCGAGTATGAAAGTTTTCGCCAGACTTCACCAGTCTCTATAACGGCAGAACAGGGAACTGTGCATCGAGAGAAGCCTGAGGGCGGAGCACGGATGGAAGTCTAAGTGGAGGAAGATATCCTGGAGCGTGTGGATGAAGAGCCGGAGATTAGCAGTAGGAATCTTGCTAGGGCTACTGGTGTAAGTAAAACAACTGTCTTGAAAGTTTTGCAGAAAAATAACTTTCATCCCTATCACTTCACTAAGGTTCAAGGCCTTGAGCCTAACGATTACGTCCCTAGGGTAGACTTCTGTCGATACCTCCTGAACTGTGATATCGAACAAGATAATTTTGTGACGAAGAGCAGGGTTAATAGCATCCAGAATTTGAGGCAAATTATGCTGTAGGAAGTCGAGGTAGACATATCCGTTCAGATTTCCCTGAAAAATGGGAGGGCCTAATAATCTATCCCCTACCACTGCTGCCCTTACGTTTATGGTAAATCTGTTTTGGAAGGACATCTCCCTTAGTGTGTTTGGGTTTTCTGTTTTCCACATATGCATGTTGTGGAAGTTAAACACACCTTGTATAGTAAACAGAGCTCTATCTGTCCACAAAATCTTCTTGAAAAAGTGATTTTGTTTGATATCACAGTTCAGGAGGTACTAGGTCCACAGAACAAGGCTGTAATATTATACATGGAACTGTTTTTTTATAGTAAAATGTTTTGGATAACCTGTTTTACACCATTCAAACTTGAATAGCGGACATTTATCGGGATCAAATATTACGTTTGATGGTATTGTTTGAAAGCTTAGATTATGGAGCTGCTTTTTTAAGTATTTGCTGCTCTTTAAAACTTTTTTTAAAGTTTTATGTTTACGTATTTTTTAATATTTTTTGAAAAACACAAATTTTTATTTCTATTCAAATTAATAAGTAGCTATGCAGATTTCCCAAGTTGAAATACATGTATTTTTATACAAAATTTTGTGGAGAACGCGATGGTACTGTTAAATGTTGATGAAAGTTTTAAAATAACCCGAAAACCAATAAACCAATCTCTGGGGGTGAGTATGAGATATATTTTTTTTATCACGTTTACGAGTTCCATTTATGCTCCTCTTATACCCAATAAAAAATTTAACGCTTATTCGCGACCACCCTGTATATAAGTTTTTAGGTGTACCTAACACCACGTGAGCACGCACATACAGCTGTCCGTGCGAAAAGCATTTATTTTCTAAATTTAAACCAGCAATAGCCAGGGATTGCCCTTGTACCTTATAATGGTGATTGCAAAAGCAAGACGCAAAGGAAATTGTAGCCCCTTTAATTGAAAGTGTAATTTGGATGAAATCATCGGTATTCTTGGGATTAAGACTATTTCTCTTTTAAACTTATCACTGATGATTGTTGCTTCGATCAAGTTTGGTGTCATTTTTTTAATCGTCAGTCTGGTTCCGTTGCACAGCTTGGATGGATTTAAGTGTCGCATTAGTATTAGTGGAGTTCCTTCTTTTAATGACAGTAATGTGGTGGGTTAGTGACAAATTGGGAGGCATTTGAATACCTAAATGAATACCTAACACGCACGATCATCATTTTCATAATAATTTGTGTTAGATTGTGTGGGTAGGGAACAAAAGGTAAAAATATTAAGGCATTGCCATCCCTTTTATTCTTTATAATACTTTGATAAAGGTTTTTACTTTTATTTTTTACATATTTAATAGTGGAGAATTTAAACGTTGTTGAGTGCACATGTGTGCTGCGATTGGGGTTTGATATATTTGGACTTATCCAAAAGTAAAGTAGTTTTCTGTGCTGCTTTCTGTGGAAACAGTGTAGCACTATTTGAAATCATGACTAATACAGAATGTTGTGATTATACAAACCTACAAAACAGTTGGTTAAAGTAAACACCTGTTTTTAAATTGTATTTATTTGTAAACATTGTAGTTCCAAAAGTTGACATTGGACCCCTTAAAACCCTCTGGGGTGGAGCCATTTTGACGGATCTGCACCAAACTTCACACAAACCATCCTTGAATAATGCATATAATGCCTGAAAGTTTCATTACAATCTGTTGAGCGGTTTCGGAGTCAATAGGGTATATACATACATACTTCCTCTTTGTACATAAGCACTTGCATATGCACACAATCATGGTAGACAAGAGTACCGTGTTTTGATATTGGTTGTATTCTGTGTACAGAAGCAGACATGTCATCAGAGCCAGAGGAGAGAGTGACAGATATGAATCAGCTGTATCAGATCTTCCCTGACGAGGTCCTTGGCTCCGGCCAGTTTGGTATTGTTTATGGAGGTAGGCTTACAAAACACTCCATGTTTATGACACCCTAACCACCTATGTTTAGTTGATAGTTAGGACTTTTTCAATTTCCCGTTGAACAAATTTTAAATCTCAACAAATTGTTTAACAAAACTAAAAATCCTTATATATAATTCTGTAAGACAACATTTTTACCAGAAAATTGTGGACGTCTGGTAAGTTACAGAAAAGTGGGAGGGGTCTTAAATTAAAGGTCTTGACCCCAGGGACTCGGGAAAAATAGCAGAATTCCCATAAAATTCCAGAAAACGAGATATAACGTAAAATGTTCTCCATAAGAACAGCATTAAATAACAGAAAAATTGTATTTTCTCAAAAATCGCCGGAACAATTTTGATAAAAATTTACTATGTTATAGTCCTTTAAATTCTGAACAAAATTGTACAAATCCCATTTCCGTAAAAATTGCGGTTCAAAAGTTATTATCACTTATGTTATTTTTCCATAAAAAACCATATAAAATAACCAAAAAAATCTAATTTTTTGAGAAAAGCTGGTTTTCATCAAAATTAATATGTTATGGTCCTTATAATTCTATAAATAGTACAACACCCCATTGCTGTAACAATTATGGTTCAAAAGTTATTGCAACTTTTAGGATTTTTAACTATAAAATATCATATTTACTCTCACTGCTTACCCATTATAAAGGTTGTTGACAAGCTTATGAGAGAAAGTATGTGTCAGAATGTTGATACCGTTTATTTCAAGTTTCTATTTGTAGCCAACTTTAGGCTGTCTTTATTGAATATAATCAAGAAATAAAATAGTTTTAATTGATAGGAAAATTAGTTTTCTTTCAGAATGTCACCTTCCATTTTGGTCGATTTCCTTACAATTAAACGTCATTTGCAAATAAGCTAAGCAACTCCAAATATATAGTTTTTAGGGAATTAGAGACATTTATCTTCAACTTTGTACAAATAAATCTACAGTTATACTGGACCGATTTTATTAATTATTAGGTATTTAGGTAATTGGAAATCTTTATTCATGTTGATTTGAAAATAATTATTAAAGTTTGATTTTTTGAAAGATTTATAGCAGTAATGGGTTTGCCGTTGTGCGTTATCTGATCATATGAAACATGTGTTAATAATTTAAAAGCTGATTGTCGTGTTGTTGTCAAGAATTTTTCTTTGTTTACATGATGTTCACAATTTGCATTTGTAGTTTAAGTGTGTTCCTTATGATATGTGTGTTTCTAAAGTTATGTGCTTAATCTGGACCAATAATTATTAGTGAGTAAACAGGTGTATGCAAATTGCATATGGTAACTAGGGGTGTGCGAGTATTCGAACATCGAGCTTTTTCGAGCCGAATAGGACGATATTCGGCTCGGCTCGTGATTTTCAAAAAGTTCGAAATGTTCGAGCCGAATACTTATTGAACTAGCAAATAAAAATTAAATTAATAAATAAGGAACTAACTTTCATTTAAATCTACTCTCCTCCGTTTCATAATTGTGTCTTGATAAGCACGAACCTCAGCTCAGTCAAGACGCAATGATTATCGATCGTAATTTTGAGGAAACTACCACCTATCGCGCTGTCTTTCTAACACAACTATTCGTTTCGTAATATACAACGCAGTGCAAGTGCGTGATTGGCTAAGTCGCTATGACGACACACGGTTGCCGTGGCAACCTACAGTGCGCACTGAGCACTGTGCCTTGTGTGGGAGGGGAGATTATACCAACAAACTATTTCAGGAATTCTATTTTGGGACGGATGAAAGATAAGGAAGAAACAAAAAGTGGTCACGTGTGCAAATGTAGTGGGCGAGACAATAAGGCTGTAAACGTGTCGTTGTTCCTTGTTTGTTTACTTTTTCAGATTCCTTATCAAACGCCCCTATCTCCTATCTCTCTTTCTCCCTCTCTCTCTCTAACAATGTACTGATTAAACAGATTGTGGTTTGGTTGACGACTTTTCTACTTATAAGTTTCCCTGCAGTTATTTTAGTTCAATCAATCCCATTACCTTTCTAATGTTTATCAAAATAATTAATTAATATGTTTTGTATTTTATTTCCTTTAAACCAACACCTATTTACCATATCTGTATTTTATAGAATAAAATGTTTGTTTATAAAGTTTGACTGGCCACACAATTTTGTACCTATTTTATTTTGTATAAAGTAACAGTTACTTTGAGGATTATATATATATATATATATATATATATATATCAATAAGTGGCGCGTGCTGTAATGAGTGCTTTTTATTATCAAAATAAGTTATGAGTTATTAATTTTTGATAGTACATGGGTCATTGAATACCATAATGTGATGTAGTTTCCTATTTGTATCTTGCAAATAATAATAATTGATAGTTAATTCTGGAAATGAAAAATAGTGATCGCATTCATAAACCTGTTGTCAAAACAGCAACGAGGGTGTAAGGGTTTATTGTTTCAGACGCAAGGGTGTTTCAAGGACAAAGTGTTGGGCCACCCGGATTGGGGGGGAGGGGGGCGGTGAGACGTTGAGACTGTGTGAAGGGGAGGAAACTGGTTTTGGCTATTTATTGATTAGTTTGCCGACCCTTCTAGATAACAAAACTGAGTGACAGTGTTAAATCATCGTGTTCTGCATTTCATTTCTTGTTTACTTTGTGTGTTATTCTATTAATTCTAGTGCTTTGGTCTATTTCCTCTATATTTCAATTATATATTTTTTAATATATAAGTAAAACTTGGCTCTCCACCTTTTTGGATCCAAACCAACCATGTTCTTTTTTGATTAATAGGATTCATAAAACAAAAATATTTTGTGCATGGAAAACAACAAGAATAATTACGTGTTTTTAAATTTATTTGGTATTTATTTATACAAAATAGAATTAAATATTCATAGTAGTTACAATATACATATGTAATCGACTTGCTAGTTGTTTTGTCGTCTGTTATGAAAGACAATCTGATTATCTCAGTCTGCACTGCATATCTCTTCAGGCCTTCAATCGATATCCTTTTATTTCTTGCATCTTCATTTAGTTCAGTTCAGTTCTTATCGTGATTATCTACTATTTGATGTCTTGACAATTCTCAATGTTTTTAAACATATTAAAATAACATTGTGTTTATTTAAAAACTGACTGAACATTATTATTATTATGCACTTTTTTAAGAAAAAAAGTTTAATAATTAAGATAAGGTTACGCTAGGAAAAGCTCGGCTCGAAAAAGCTCGAGCTCGAACATTTTTTAAAAAGCTCGGCTCGGCTCGAGGTTGAAAATCACTATTCGCACACCCCTAGGTAACCATTATTTTCCTAGAGACCTTTTTGTATTTAACCACAACTCTAACAAAACTTAACTCCAACAGGGATCTGTTGCTAGTAACATCATGAAGAATATTTCTCACTGCGAATTGTCATGTTGATAACACACAACTTCCATAAAAAATAGACAAGCAAATATCCAAATAATGAGAAAATTTAAAAGTCACATATTAGATACAATGATATTGAATACAACTAGCTAGACAGTGAAAGTGTTCATTGTACTTTATTGACCACGTTGCAGGTGTGGACCGTAAGAGTGGGAGAGCCGTAGCCATCAAAGTGATAGACAAGCTGAGGTTCCCCACCAAACAAGAAGCCCAGTTGAAGAACGAGGTGGCAATACTGCAGAACCTCAGCCACCCTGCGGTGGTCAACCTCGAGCGAATGTTTGAGACTTCCGAACGGATATTTGTAGTCATGGAGAAGCTGAAAGGTGACATGCTGGAGATGATACTGAGTAGTGAAAAGGGACGACTCTCCGAACGTATCACAAAGTTTCTCATTACCCAGGTGAGAGGTGGAAACCAACAGTTGTGTAGATGGCTACGCAAAGTTTTATAATTAGTAATCACAGAATTGCAGATTTAACAGCCTAACCGTAGTTGAATCAATAGTCAAATATGTTCTTTTATAAAGATGATTTTGTTTGAATAACTCAAAATATAAAACTTATTCTAAAGTGCCCTAGTAAAGTCACAGATGTATTAAAACTCTAAATGATGAATCATACTCCTTGCATTTAAGAAAGTATAATGCTTGTTGGGTAGTTAAGGTCCAAACTAATTAGTTGAAGCTTATTCAAACTATCCATGATTTCACTCATTTTAAGATTTTGTAAGTTAAGTACAAAATCTCAGTCTACCTCAGTGATAGAATATTCATAATTTTGTGCTGTTATTTTTGGTCTATTTACTACGTTTGATGTTTTGTATTGTTTCCTAGATCCTGGTTGCCTTAAAACATTTACATAGCAAAAACATAGTCCATTGTGATCTGAAGCCTGAGAATGTCTTACTGAGCTCTGACTCTGACTTTCCTCAAGTCAAACTCTGTGACTTTGGCTTTGCTAGAATCATAGGAGAGAAGTCCTTCCGGCGATCAGTGGTCGGGACCCCAGCCTACTTAGGTTAGTCACCTTTCCTACTCTTAATGTTACAAATCATTAATGATGGACAGATCTTGACACCTTGGGAAATTGATGGAACAACAAATATATTTTCCTGATTTTACACTAATTAATTCAGGATTGTATTTTAGATAAGCTTTGTTCTAATGGTCATGGAACTGTTTGAATTGTTGCCGGGATTGAAAGTGACAATGATTGATTACATCTCTGCGAATTCGGAAAATATTCACCATCACTTCGCAATTGTGGGAGATGTTAATAATAGCACCTTAAATGCAAGAGATTGTCCACAGTTTTGTCACTGTGGTGCATGTGTGAAAAAACACACAACAAAATATGTGATTTCTAAAGCCTATACTGGTTTTCTTCTAGTAACTATATCAGACACAATTAAAACGGTACATATGTATCACGACAGTGATAGTTATTGTGACAATAATTTAATCGGGAAAGAACTAAATTGAATAAGACTTTATTTTAATAAACAATATTTGTTTACCTCTGATCATAACATCCTAAATAAAACACATGTTTTATTTGCAGTCTTTATGAAACATCCCTCTCCTTAAAGATCGAGTCTCCTTTGAGGATGTACTTCACGCCCGTGTCTATTCTTGTAACTTGAGTTGTCCTGTCATGGTTTTGGACTTCTGGTACAGACATTTGTTGAATTTTGTTCTGTCACATTGTCTGGTGAGGGTGTACTTTTTAAGTCATCGGGAAATGGTAGAAGATGGAAATGGTTTTTTCTTATGTCTCTTGTATCAGTCCTGACAATATTTGATCGTGGCTCAGTGGCTGGTTTTACAACCCATCCAGGTTTTCCCAAGTCAGATATCCAAACGCTATCTCCAGATTTCAAACTTCCAAGAAATTTCGTACCATGCCTGGAGTCATAATTTCACTTGTACTTTTCTTTGTAATTCCTCTCCATTTTATTTCATAAGCTCTTTTCATTTTACCTAAACCACTGAAAAGAACTAGATATTTTTCGTACCAGTTGGTCAAAGTCGAAGACACACTTCGGACAACTTTAGAATGTTAAGTTTTTCAATGGCTAGGAGCGGTGTTTTACAATTTTCCACTACATAAAAACGCTCAAAACAAGATTTGTTCTTATAGTCCAACCTTACATTTACCATCCCGCGTACAGCTAACTCAGTCCCATCCGGTCCTGAGAGTCTTTTAGAGGCATGTTGCAATGGAACTTTTTTGCTTAGCTTGATATTAGCTGGCAAAACTGAAACGTCTTCTTCGGTATCGATTTTAAACTTAATAATCTTATCATCACTAAACCTGAGCCCAATTCCCCAACATTCAGGGTTTAGATCACTGTTTTCGGTAATTTTACCTATGAATTCTTCAGAATTTGATGAATTTGTACAATATTGATTAACAATATGAGGTTCCCTAGTGACTTCATTAATCTTTTGCTTAGAACAAACTTTAGCGAAGTGGCGATTTTCCATGGTTATTTGAAGCAGTTGTCTTAGAAAAAGACTTTTTGAAAGTGGCGTTTAATTTTACCCGATTAATGGAGGGATCAGCTAGGTCAAGTTTTTGCCAAACTAATGCCTCTGAACTGCCGAAAGCATCAACTGCAGTTTCTAATTTTAGTGAGCTTTGTAACTTTATGCGATCACTAAGGTTTTTATCATTCATTCCAACGATAAGTTGCATTAGAATCATTTCAACTGTTAAATCTCGCCAGTTGCTTGGTTTTGCAAGAGTATGTAAGTATGTGATGAAGTTTTCAGCAGACTCTGAGGATCCCTGCTTTCGTCTAAAAAATTTAGCATGCTGATAAATTATGTTTGTTTTGGGAACGAAATGGTTTCCGAATTTCCCCATAATCACATCATAATTTTGCAAAAGAGCGTAGATTAAATTAATCAAATATTTCCTCAGCCTTATCCCCTACACAGTAGCAAAGAATGTCAACTTGCCTTTTCTCGGGTGCTTTATGTAGATCGCTGACTGACCTGTTCCTTTCAACGTTTTTCCATGCACTCCAATCATAGGGGTTGAAGGAAACATTTTCTGGAGGCTTGACCTGGATTTGATTTGTTTGAAGTGTGTTTTCAATTTCTTGTTGGATTTGTAGGTTTACATCACGCTGCACCATGTATCACAACTGTGATAGTTGTCGTGACAATAATTTAATCAGGAAATAACTAAATTAAATAAGACTTTATTTAAACATGTCTTTTTGAAAGAAGTAAAAAAATAAACAATATTTGTTTACATCTGATCATATCCTAAATAAAACACATGTTTTATTTGCAGTCTTTATCAAACAACATAGTTTAAGATAGTCTGCCTACATATCGTTGTGTAATTTGCTAGGTGGAGTCCCAATAATTCGAACTTTAGTAATCCGAAAGTCTGCTTAATCCGAAACCAAAAGATTTTTTTATTTAACTTTTAACACAGTTAGCTGTACCTCTTCAAAGTATTCTGTAGCGGCCGGGCGAGATAGACTTGTTTTATAGAGTATTTTAGTAAATATTTCGCCATTTTTTTATTAACATTTTTCATTTTCGTCCCGGGTTCCAATCCCACCAAATCACAAATGGATTTTATTTCAGTGATAATGCTGCAGCCCCCAGGTCTAGCCTAAAGTAATGTTAAAAACAATCCTGGGCTCGTGCCTAGCGTCCTAAAAAAATATTTAAAAAATTAAAAATGGTTTTTAAAATTTTCAAAAATAAAATAAAAAAAGTTTAATCCGAAATGGGTTGGGTAACAACCATTTTGGACTAAGGGGACTCTACAGTAGTGGTTTTTAATATGACTGACATTTTAACAGTTAAACTTTGTGTTTTCATTTTTGATACCTATGTATTTTTACCCACTGTTGGTGTATATACTGCAAATTGAGTTTGTCAGTCATCTTTGCTATTTCCAAAAAATTTTACTGAAGATTTTAAAACAAACTCGAATATCATTTTACAGGGGAGGAAAATTCTGTCCCGCCCCAAAACAAAATTACAGTCCTGTCCATCACTATAAAATATAAACAAAAATTTCAACTGAGTCATAGTGTGGGTTTCCTTGTTACTGTAGAATTTATTGAACTTTCCAATCAAATTTCAGTTCTTGCAATTGTTTTTATGTGAAACCTGACGAATGGTTGGATGTAAATTTAATTTGGCGTTTTAACATAAATTTGTGGTAAGAGTTTGAAAGAAACTATAAATACATTTGTAGCACCAGAGGTTTTGCGGAACAAGGGCTACAACCGGTCTCTGGACATGTGGAGTGTTGGTGTCATCGTGTACGTCAGCCTCAGTGGAACCTTCCCCTTCAATGAGGACGAAGATATCAACGAACAGATACAAAATGCTGCCTTCATGTATCCTCCAAATCCATGGAAAGAGATATCATCTGATGGTAAAAAAAATCATCTTGTTAATAGATTAAACAATAAATCTATAACTAGTAAATGTTTTCACACATTTAGAGTATTTAAATATGGAAAATTCAACTCCCTGTCCCCATGCTTACTAGCAGAAAGAAAAAACTGTTTGTTTCTTATTGTTTATTGTAGGTTTCAGTGTCTGGCAACTTAAATAGAAACATATGATTCAATCGCTCTGCATGCACGGTGCCCCATATTCTTTTTATTCCATTTTTAGTAGATTAGCAACAAGAAACCATCACTCTTTATAATAAACGGTATCAGCATTCTGACTCATACTTTCTCCCATAAGTTTGTCAACAACCTTTATCATGTGTAAGCGGTGAGAGTAAATATACGGAAATGGGATTTGTATTATTTTCAATAACTTTTGACCGTAATGTTTACAGAAATGGGATTTGTACCATTTTGCTCAGAATTTAAAGGGCTACAACATACTAAATTTTCATCAAAATCGTTCGGGCCATTTTTGAGAAAATTCGATTTTTCTGGTTTTTTATGGGAAAACCCCCATTAAAAATCAAAATTTCAAAAAAATGAAAAACTCCTGGAGATAACATGGATTAGGACCTACATACCAAATTTCATCGAAATCGGACCACAGGTGTAGTCCCTAGCTCTGTACACATCCACACACACAGACACACACACACACACAGACATCACTTCGAAAACCACTTTTTTGGGTCCAGGGGGACCCAAAACGAATATATCCACTCAAAACTCAAACTCGAAAATTTTGACGAAAACAATACTTTCTCCATATACTATGCTATAGGGGGAGAAAGTAAAAAGATTAAAATAGTTTTTAAATTTATAGGTTCACTCATAGGCTCTCAATTTGTAGCAATACGCATGTGTTTTTCTTTATCTAAGTAGCAAATTAGGAACATGTTATTCTCTTTTTGAGGAAATAAAACAAATTTCAAATTACTCACCCAATGGAAAGTCCTATTCCTAGTCAAAAATCGTAAGAATAAAACTTAATATGAGAGTACCTTGGATAAAATAAAAACATTTTACAATTTTATCAATTATAGTCATGTAGTAGTAGGGTGTATTGATGAAGTCTATGGGGGGTGCAAGGAGTGCAACGCCTTCTGCTCCCTCCCCTCACCATCCTCCTTCATCACCCTTACCCATCCCTCATCAATGTCGGGCTTGTACGTTTTAGAAAACGTTTCCTCGATCTCCTCCACTACCGGGTGGTGGTCGTGCTTATGATGATGATGCTGCAGCAGTCTCCATGATAGGTATACTGATTGGTTGTCTCTTAGTGGCGGCGAAATGCAGGAATTTTTCATAATCGTTTAAACATTTATCCATCAATATACGATGCACTTGATTATCGATACTATCACCATCACCACTGTCTCCACAGAATCGACAAGACTATGTTGACGCTTTCCTATTATCCATGCTGTTGTTGGTATTGATGTCGCTGTTTTTTAACCATTCGATTAATTCTTGCGGTTCAACAACCATTTTCTTTGCGTACTCCATCATCGTGTTATTAGTATTATTATGTAATGGATCCATGATGTATGGCTTGTAATACGGTGCTCAACAGTATTGGTAGTAGGAACCCACCTCCTTTCTGTACTAGATACTTGCGTTTCTTGGCTCAACTCTCACCTTGTTTCACCAATCGTCTGAGAGTTGATTTACTTTTTCAATTGGCTTTTGCATTTGTTGGATAAGGCAACGTTACCACGCAACAGGTTGTCTGCACACTCCCACAGTGATCGTATACGACTGAGATTACACACTTTTAACAGCGAGCTGTGTTCTTTCGGTGTAGCGTGCACCAGTGCCGCCAGTAGAGCTGCATATTTCCTCACACTGTGACATGACGACTGATACTCATTTGCTGTAGATTTGTTGTATTTATTATGGCTACTGATACTGCTTCTTTTCGGTAGACACACAGAATTAATCGGATTGTCCCAAAAAGATGGTCGAACGAATGCGTATTTCATCCGGTGTGGACTGTTTCATGTCTATCAATAGATATGCGTGTGGATCAAGTATAGCTTCCGCATAAGCTTCCTCTATAAATTTTGTATTAACCGGATAAATTTAACTGGCTAAATGTTTTATCTGAGCTCGAACTATGGGGTCTTTAAAACAATATAATCAGCGTTCAATGAGATGTCTCTCTGCCCACAGCCTTGATGAAATAGATTCTGCGAAATAAAGGAAAACACTAAAGGTCCTATTATGTGAGCCAGCAAATCCACCACACTTTCGTTTGTTTCTTGCATCATGTCGTCCATTATGATCAGATCAGACTACCATCAAAGTCGTTCATGTCTGACAGCAGACAGACTGTTTTTATACTGAATAATACTAGTGCTGCTGCTCTGCTGCACACTATCACTTGAATGATGATGATGCCAGTATATGTTAGTAAAATCTGTATCACACATTTTATTAGCATGGTCTATAAAAAGCATGACAAAGTGTGATTTACCAGACCCCGAAGGGCCGGCTACTAAGGCCGAAAATGGATGCTTCCACCTCAAGTCCATCTCACTTTCTGACTGACTGACAACACTATATACTACTAATTTTATGCTATGAAGGATTGAGGGGGGAGGGGATGCCAGATAGGGAGGATGACGGGAAGGTGCGGAAGGCCTTGCACCCCTTGCACCCCTTATAGACTTTCTCAATACACCCTTCTAATATTTATGTTATAATTAAAAATACCCTCGCCGCAGCAAACCTGCAGGCTAAGCGAATTTCCATTTGCCTAAATGGATTTACACAAAAATGTCTACCTACTAAAAAATATAACATGTATTTCCTATTTAAATAGAATTAGTTCGCGAACTCAAATTCAAATTCAAATTCAAGTTCAAATAAATGTAGGTTTACACGTTTATACCAAATTTCATCAAAATCGATCATTTTTGCTCAATATATAGGCTATACAATTGTATATATACAATTGTTTGGATAAAGGGCTACTATTATCTATATATTAATACGCAAGCAGTTTTCTTTTCACAGTCATAACTCAATAAGGGCTTGATGGATTTTAAAGTTTGAGGTGTCAAATCAAAGGTATTTTCACGTAGATGTGCAAATACGTCTGAGAATATTAAGAAAGGGCACCACTTAAGTACACTTAAGGGCTTAAGTTTGGAAGGCGGCGCTATCTGTTGACATTAGATCAAACTCATTTCCTTTTGTTTACAAATAACATATGTACGTAGTTTTAAATATTTTTTAAGGTTAACCACAGACTGCAGGACTTAAAACTTCCAGTATATATAATATATATAGTATATATATTATATTACATTTGTTTATTATATTGTATTATATTTTGTTTCAATCTATTAACTAAGTCTGGTTAATAATAAAGAGTTTCACAGGGCAGTTATCCTTTACATTACCATATGATCATGTAATTTACAATGTGTATCAAAATTCCAATTCCTTTATAGTGTTTTCTGTTGTTTGGTTAACTTTCTTATTTCATTTCAATTTAAAATCAAATGCTGCCAGTACGACGAAGAACTGTGAGGGGCTGTAGGGAACGCAAACATGACCGCTTGCATCACCTCTCAATTGCACATTTGACGGGTACATAGTGGTAGTACGAGCGTTGTAATACATCCAATCTCGGACAAATGAACGTTAAATGTTTACATTGTAGTGGCTTACATTTTAATCAAGAAAAGACTGGCCGAGACAGTTAAGTTTTTAATCTTTGTTGCCATAAATGAAAGGTTCGTTTACCTCATTTGTGCAATTCACCTTAATTTCACACCTTGCATTTCTGATACCTTCAAGATTTTATCGGAAACTCCCAATCTAAAAAAAGGACTGTGAGACTTATATCTAGAAATTATTTGGATTAAATTTGTCAATTCAATTCTGCCTTTACCATGGCGGCCAGCTCCGAAGCTCATTAAGATGACAAAATTCCACAGGGGATCGACAATTTCAAGGTTCATAACACATTTTACCACCGAGTAGGTCCTCTAATTTCTCAAGAAGGTGATGATCCTGAATACGCATAGATATATAAGTAAGTACAATAATGTCACTAGAACCCAAAGGAGAATTAAGCACAATTTAAACAAAAAATTCAATGAATAAATATGCGGGAAATAGGGTCAAACAATGCCCATTTACAAATCTTTGAAGACTGTGGCAGACATTATGTAGGGACGAGAGCTCCGAGGAGTCAAGTGAGATTCTTATGTACATAATAAGAGACTGAAGAAGTGTCTTCCCTCGCTACAATGGTGCTCCCTATGTAGGTGTCACAGCAATTTTTAAAGTTGACATGATTTTTCTTTTTCTTAAAATTTATGGTAGGATAATCTTTTGTCTTTTGTCATATATATATGACAAAATTTCATGACCAAAGATTATCCTACCATAAATTTTAAGAAAAAGAAAAATCATGTCAAGATCATCACATGATATTTATTTATTAATAAATTTGTTGTGTTTAAAGTTAGGTTAAATATGTTACTCTTGTAAATGGCCTAAAGGCCGAAACATGTAGAGTTTTAAAAAATAAAAAATAATTTCAGGGTACTGAGTTAGTATGCTTTCTTTAATATAAATATATATATATATATATATATATATATATATATATATATATGAATTTGAATGGATGGTGTTTTTGGGCTCTAGACACCTCAAAACAAAACAAAATTGGTCCCGCATCCAGGTCTTACCATGAGTACTACGGTAATAGCTTATTCCCTATATGGGAAATTCGCTAAAACCTTGTGTTTTTGTTGAATACATTCAATATTTAGTTCCATTTGATAAATCATTTCTTTTTTGTGATCCTACTATGTCTTTGGTCAGAAAATTGGTTGAATTATAGACTGTATTTTATCAAATTATTATTATTAATGGCCAAGCAATCCTTAACTCTTTGTATAATCACAATTATAAATGTTATTTAATTGATATATTTTTGCAGCTATTGACTTAATCAACAACTTGTTGCAAGTTAAGCAGCGGAAAAGGTACACTGTGGATAAATCCTTGTCCCACATATGGTTACAGGTAATTAATTTACTTTAATGTTTTAAATATTTTAAACAAACAATTAGTTAGCAATAAATTAATATCTAAGGAGGGGTTTTGTTATTTTTAGAAGAAGCAGGAGATTATACATAACCAATACTGTACCTTTAAATTAGTGATGTGTCAATACAGTAAACTCTCAGTAATCCGGCAGATATAGGACCGTAGTACTTTTGGATTAGTGAAAATGCCAGATTACTGGAATGTTATCAATAAAAATACTTAAAATGCACTTAAAACACGTCTCCGAAAATCGCACGATTGGAAACCGCTATTGCCGCGATCTGGCATGACGACGATGACGTTTCCGTAATCGTAGGAGACGATGATAAAGTCTACACTTCCCCTGGAGATAATCATGATTTTATCGCGATGAAAGAATTATGTAATATGTTCAAACGCGATCAAGTAATATGTTAAAAAAAAATTGCAAAGGTAGAAAAAAATATTTAAAACCATAAAAAGTTTAAAAGAATTTAGGGTGAAAGGGTGAAATTTTCTGAAAACGCCAAAAAGTGTTATGTAGAAAATTTTATTCCTGACCATGACAATTCTTTCAAATCTTGGCTAGCTCTTACAGTTTTTTAGTTATAGCCGTTACTAAGGGGAATACAAAGCAATAATAATATTTGCAAAAAATAATTATTAAAGTATGAAAAAATAGTGAAAACTGTCAAATTTTGAAAGTAGGGCGTTTTTTAAAGCTGAAGGAGTGCGATTTTTTAAAAACGCCTATCAGTGTTTAGTAGAAAATTTAATTACTGACCATGAAAATTTTCTAGCTCTTACCGTTTTCGGTAAGAGCTAGAATGTCAAGCCGTTTGTTAAAAAACCTGTTTTGACGTTTTTAGATGTCCGCCATTTTGAATTTTCGGGGGGGGGGGGGGGGGGTAAACATTTTAAAATGGGGCTTTTTCTAATCTCACTGTTAGTTTAAGATCCCATACTACAATACTACCAAATTTCAAGTCTCTATCACATTAACTTGTGTTTACATAAAATGCTGGATAATTTTTATTACTGTAGATTCTGCAGGAATACAAATATTTTTACAGTGTAGAAATAAGCAAGAGGTAGTTGTCCTAACCTATTTTTATAGCTGTTACAACAGAATAGGTCAACTCAAAGCAGTCACCTGCGACTGACTGACTGACTGGCAATGGCAATGGAAAACAATAGAATGGAGGGAGGGGTTGTGCAACGACCTTGAAGTGAGTGGGCATAGCAACAGTGAGTGAAGTAGGGGTTTGGGGGGAAGGGGGAGGGTCAGACCTTTGAACTATATTTAGACTACACTTTCACCACTTCCCAAATGGCCAGGTAGGGGGATTACAAATTACAATAGCAGGTTTTTTTCCTTGCCTGGTTTGACTTTTGTCTTTTTGCTTAGGAGATTTGAATCATCAAAAATGTAATTTAAATTTACCACAATTATTTAGCATTGATAATACAATCGGCAAGGGACCAGGAGAAATATTATTCAAATTAGAGTTAATGTCATGATTTGCATTTTTACTCAAAATACAACATTGCACAATCATGATGTTTTGAGTCATTGACCTTTATAGCATCTGTTATAAGTCGATAATTATAAATTGATGTTCCCGTGGTTAAAATAATTATTCTGTAAACTTTTAGAACATAGACAAATCATAAATAAAGTATAAAAACACACATAAAGATAATAATAGCACTCCTAATAAGGATATAAAGATAACGACATAAAAACATCATTATACTTTCTCTTGTTCTTACATTCTTTCTTGGGGAGAATTATAGTGAATTAGGCCTAGTCTATAGGTTTCATTTTAGTTTTATAACTAATATTGTATGGACCTATTACATTATTCAGTATAACGTTTAATCTACAATAATTATTGTTCTGTTTAACATAGTAAGGTAGGCTACTTGTAGGCCTATTTAATAACTTTATTTTGAACATACATTTTGAGTATTTTGACAGAATATTTGTTTACAATTGTGACAGGTGGCCGAATGAAACAATGAAATGCGCTACGAATAAATAATTTATTATACTTATGACAAAGACAAAACAAATATGTAGCTTCCGACTTGCTGTATAATTTATCTATTTATTTTTTTAAATAAGTTATTGGGGAACATAGCCTCCCGAGGAGGCTATGGAGAAAGACAACGCAACTTTATATGACCGACCGAATTGAATTTAGAATTTAGACTAACTCAACTGAGTGCTCTCTGCCCATAGCCCAGAGTTGGGCGAGGAGGGGAACCAGCCAATAACGTTGCGGCTATGCCGCGTGACGTCAGTGCAAGCACAGGACAGTGCTGCCGCCGCGTAACGATCACTCAGGGCGTTAGGCAAACTGTAGCTGCGCATTAACTGATTTCATCGAGCAACCTGCTGAGCTGTCTCAGCGAATTCCAGCCATGCGCGTAACACTTCGGAGAACATTGGCCTGGTCTAGGGCTGAGCCACGGCTGACGGAATATTCCATGGTGAGGCAACTGGCTGACGCAGAAAGTTGGGAGGTTAACAGTCCAATATTACAGACCCTCTTTTTATATTTGAAATAAAGCAAAGCTTTTGTGACGGTACTGACAGGGTTTCTTGAGGGTGTAGCAAAAACCTCCCCAACTGATATGCAATAGGTCTGGGAATTTTTGGGGCCGTCACATCCCCCTCCTCCTCAGACCTTGCTGACCCCAGCAAGATATAAAGCAGGAAGCAGTGAGCGAGCCTCACACCTGAGGACTCTCAAATCTCCATACTATGGTTCTCAGCTACAAAAATCCGTCCAGCCAAGCTCAAGGCCACACCAAAGACCAATTTAAATGCCTCGTAAAATGTACAAAAAGAATTCAAATTTTTGAAACGAAACACCCATATAAATAACCAAACATATAATTGAACTCTTTAACGTCATCGCCTTTCCCTGTTAATGCCATAAATTTAACCAATTACATCCATAACTCTGGTTTCCAAAATCACTAACATTCATCATACAATCACTACACTATTTTGTGGAGTCAATCTCCACAGCACAGCAACTATTGAAATGTCCCGCCTAATCTCAACCCCAGAGCTGCTCGCGCATGCGCAGCGAGCAGGCGGGTAAAAGGAGTGAACCAACTCTTGGTCGTGTGTCTGCTGTCTTGAAGAATGGAGGCCTAAATTCGTTGGGATACAGGGGGACGCCCCCTTGAGGTATTGTGTCGCAGTTATAGTATTTTAATAATATGTAATTTCAGATCATCTAGTCAAATTCACTATTTCATTCATTCCGTCATTTATTGTTGATTATTAATTCAAATGTTAGTTCACGTTGTGTCCAGTTGACTTATATACTAAATATTCAATATGTTGAACAATCCACGTATTTCAGTGTTATAATGCCTTAATTAATCAAACTCTCATCAAAGCTGGCTCTTGGGGCCTGTGAATTGCGGTAAATTGTCTCCTCTGTGTTAAATAATGTATTCAGTTAACGTTTCCAACAAGAACGATTTGGTCAAGATCTTGAATCGCATGACCAGATCTCCAAAGTGTGGCATAAAGTTTGCCACAATTTAATAAAAGTCATTTAACCTAAACAGCAAGTCGAAGCAAAAGAACAAGAAAAATACAATAAACTACCCAAACAAGACAAATCGCAAATTGTGGTTGAATTGTAAAGCTAGGAACATTAACAAAACAAATATCAAAAATCTCCATAAAAACGAGTATAACATAAATTTGGCAGAAACTTCATAACAGAACCTAACACTAATAGTAATAAAAAATTTCATTAATGATGCATTAATTTTAAATTTCAAAAATAAAAAACCAAAGAAGGCAGATTTAAAATTATCCTCATAAAGAAAAATTTTAAAGATTAATTAATGGATCAATTAACTAAGGTCGTTGAATTAATACAGTAATAAGCCACTAGCCTAAGCAAACAATAATAATTATGTTCAGCTCGGATAATGCTTGCTTCCCTGGGACGAGAGAATACACAGACCCACTTATCTTCGGTATCACATAATCACATAAAATAAATAACTCGTATTTGAGATACTTCCCCATGCCCAAAAATCTAACGATTTAAAACTAACGAATATATTATCTATTCGTTAGCTATAAATCTAACTGAGTAGAAGTAATTTCCAGCACTTTTAAAAAACTAACGAATAAAATAGAAGTTAGCCGAAAAAACTAACGAACATTGCTATTCGTTAGAAATTCTATTCGTTATTCCCAAGTATGCCAATCCCAATACATGTAGTCTTATGGCAGAACAACTGAACAGCGCTGAGGGTGCCATGATGTCATTCCAATGCTTTAGCATGGGCGCTTTGGGGCAGAGTCCAAAGTTGCAAGTACACTCTGAAATCAGGGAAGCCACCACAATCTGGATATTCTGTATGGCAAGCTACCATTATAATGGGTAGAACTGATGTTGGTGCACCCGTTTGTCATAACTCAAACTTTCGTCCATATCAATACTTTTCGGCAAATCTACTCACTCTAAGCTTCATTTTGATGTGGCATACGCCTATATTTTTATTTGGTAAATGACCTTAATCGTTTACATAAAATTTGATTGTATCACTTTAATAATATAATAGATATTTATCATAGGTTATGTGTGTTTGTATTACAAATTTAAGCCTTAAATTGTTTTCAATTCTTTGACAAACATGAATGATGTTAAATGGTAGAAAAATGAGGATAGCAGCTAGCTTACCTTGAAAGTGTGGGTAGGCCATAGATTAGAACAAGTAGAAAAACATTTTGCACACAATATTTCGTCCCCTAAGGGACTTTGTCAAGTGTAGAGAGAGTTTATAAATTACAAGATGGCTGCTGTCATGGCTGATGGCTGTTGTCAACTATGCAGGGTTGCCACATCTCATTAGTCTATTTACAACTATGTACACAACTTTATATATACACCCACATATAATATTTTATATACAAACTAGGCCTATTATGTATTTAGCTAGCTGCTTGGACAGGTTTATCTTAGGTTAAGGTTGGGGGGGAGTTCTGGAGTTGGTTATATACTGGAATGCCAGTTCCCACCTTCTTAACATGGAAGGGTTGCATTCATCCTTTGGAAGGGATTTTATTACTTTAGTTGTGAAGCAACTATCAAAGTCCATGTTGTGATTGTTGGCATGGATGGCCACAGTATATATATAGATATATAAAGTTGTGTACATAGTTGTAAATAGACTAATGAGATGTGGCAACCCTGCATAGTTGACAACAGCCATCAGCCATGACAGCAGCCATCTTGTAATTTATAAACTCTCTCTACACTTGACAAAGTCCCTTAGGGGACAAAATATTGTGTGCAAAATATTTTTCTACTTGTTCTATGGCCTACCCACACTTTCAAGGTAAGCTAGCTGCTATCCTCCTTTTTCTACCATTTAAAATCCTGGCCTAGAGCCTTTCCTTTAACAAAATGAATGATGTTAAGTTTTTGTTTATATATAAAAATAAGCAGAGCCCTCCCACCACCTATGAACACCAGCCGCTACTGCATAAATGTCTATTTATAAGGTATTACGACGTTTTTATCTTCCTCTCCCAAATTTCCCCAGATCATACAAAAAATATAAATTTGTAAACGATTGGTTTTGTTTGGCTCTGCAGGACTATCAGACATGGTGTGACCTTCGTAACCTGGAGAAGACCACAGGTCTGCGGTGGCTCACACATGAGTCAGACGATGCTCGATGGAGCACCTTCGAGAAAAATTTCAATCAACGGCTCTGACGCGGCCGTCGTTGGCTCAAACACTTCCACCGTCTCTAAATCACGTGCCAAACTTTCTTATCAATTTTAGAGTCTAAATCTTTTTTTTTTAAAGAATTATATTTATATCTACAATTTATAAGATACCAAAAATAATAACTGAGGCAAGACTAGATTCTGACTAAGATAAAAGGAATCACCATTTTCTTTTGAAATGAACCTAAGTAGGTTCAGCAAAATACATTTTTATTAACAGTTTTGACTGACTGAGTTAGACTGAGGCAGCCATTTGCTGTTTTGCTGTTTTGCCGTTTTTTCACTCACAAGCCTAGGGTTCTCATATCATTATAGCCTATGTTCAAATCTTGAAAATCATTTATCTCAAGCATCACATTGAAATATTTCTAAACACTCTTCTTTGCCAATACTTCCCATAAGATTGTGCTCAATAAATCGCCATTTGAATTATTTTTCCAAAAATAAATTATTTAATCATTAAATTAATATTTAAGTATGGATTTCAAGTTTTTAGGCTATAAAATGTGTAGAATGACATCTGTTTAATGTTTTTTAATCAAATTATAAATACTAGAATCTTTGGGGACATTTAATTTATAATACCAACATACTGTAGTCACCATAAATTATTGATTCATCTATAAATCAATCCAAATTTTAACTATTCATTACACTTATATTTGAACATGCATAAAGAATGCTGTAAGTTACATTAAAATAAAACATTGTTATGACTAAAATTATAATGTCACTCTATACCAAATAATCGATATGACTAAAATACATGATAGGGACACTTATGAAAAAATCTCTGTATAAACGATGTAAATGTTACTATGTAGGCCTACATAAACTGGGCAAATTATATTTAACAGAAACTAAAACATCACCAAATTAGTATGAGGTATTAATTTGATTACAGTATATTGTTCTAAATGTTACAATAACATTTTTGTAGTACCATGTAGCTCTTTTGTCCATCAGTTAACTAACTATCATTATCGACAGTATAAATATTGACTATCTTCTTATCTCCAAAAGTTATTTTCTCATCAGTATTTTGCATATCAAGCTATGTGCTGTACTGCTGTACACATTAGTATTACGGTACTAAGACTTGTCTCAGTAGAACTAGTACTATTTACCACCTGTATTATTGTTATCGTGTTTATAAGCTAGTATTAAAATTTATGTTTAGGTAATTTCTAAACAAAAATAGATAACTTGCATTTAATGCCTTGTATTGTAAATATTTTGCTAATAGCTTCGTTATTGTTTTATACAATATGTATTGTTAACAATTTTAACTTTTTTTCATAATTAATTGGAAAACCTTCTAACTGTGCAATGTGAAATATGAAAGAAAAATGTTTTGTTATTAGGGCCTAAGGTGACTCATTTCAACCTGTGCACAAGTTTAACAGAATGTGAGGAAGGGTAAAAAATAACAAAAAAAATATTTTTCTGTTAGGGTAAATAAATCCTGTTAGGTTAAAAAATTGTTCCTGTTTAATGGACTATATTTTTTTTTCATGCTGCACCTTTCCTAAAATAATGAAATTCAAATACAGTAATGTAAATTTTATACCTACATTGTTAACCTTTAAAAATTAGCTTGTTTAATGGTTTTCCTCATGTTTTTTTATTATATGTGAACAGCAATTAATGCTTTTAGATGTTATTTGTATTATCTCGTAAACGCAGTTCTAAATTCATAGTTTTGTTGCTGAATTTCTTTTACATTACAATTAGTAAATGTCAAAAAGGGGTGTATTTGTTTTTAAATATACAATATAATGCAATGATAAAACACAAATACAATTTTTTAATGATACAATAGTATATTTGATAGGGATGGACGAGATTGGATTTTTAATTTGAGACGAGACGAGATGGAATTTTTTATTTCTCATAAAATTTCTAGATGAGATCGAGACGGGATTTCCCTTCTCATACATAACGGAATGTTTGACATTTTAAGCTGATTTTGATTTTGTAACATTGTTAAATACCTACTATAGTTCGGCCGCTTAGAAAGCGACCTCCTCTAGCATTGGTTTAGCATATGCGTGCAGGTCGTTTTCTAAGCGGCCGAACTATAATTTATAACAGATGACTAGTTGAATACAAAAATAATAATAATAAGCAAGAATCTCAAATCTTTTATTAAAAAACATCAGTAAGAAAAAAAATTTCTCCTACCTTACTAAAAATAACTCTGACGCATAGGAAACATGGTGATATCAGTTAGGATAAGATTTAGTTCAACTTTGAAAAATACCAAATTTATCAGTCTGAAACATCAGTCTTACTAGTTAAGTAGACTATTATTAGGCCTAAAAATTTTTCAGTCTTGTGTTATTTTTAGAATGATTTTGGAGTGACTTGTTTTTGCTATGTTTACGGTAGTAAAGCATGTCTCACACTGCATGCACTTAACAAAACTTCTCACCATTTGCAAAGTAAAAACAAAAAAATATAAAACAATTAAAGCTATATTTATTTACATGTAAAGAATTAATTAAATAAAAACTCCTTCGCAAAGGAAACGCAACAACAACGCGCTCCTGTATTGCCGTTATAGCATTGACTTTCTGCAGGCGTTTTTAATTTTTTTTTTATTTTGTCACAAAAAAATCTTGATTAAAATTAAATCCTCTTGAAGAACAAGATTTAAAATTTCCCAAAAATTTCTCAAAATTTTGAGACTTGTCCATCCCTACCCTAATATTTGTCTACCGGGAATATTTTCATGAGCGAAATCAGCAAACAAATTTAAGCTAATCTTGAGTCCCGCTCGTCCGAACATGGGTAATCGGAACGTCCGTATAATCTGAACAAATTCTAGAAAAATGTTTTGAAAATAATTGGCACTAATGTAAAAGTATGTTTTAGAAGATTAAATCCAGAGGAAATTTTACAAGTTCCAATTCTTTTATCTTATAAGTTCAAATGTAGTTTTCTAAATTGTTATACAACTGCCACTAAATTTTCTTTGTCAATCTATTGATTTTTCCATCACTTTTAAAATTTGAAAACTTGACTTACTTACTACTTACTGCTGTGGCCTTCGGTACCTCAAGTGGTACTTGGTCTCCCCAACACAATCCATTTGTTCATCTCTAACTCATGCCTCTTCCTTCTTTCTTTGAAAAAAATGGTTAGTGAGGCCTCACAGCCATATGGATGGACGCCCATGGGCTAATCCAAACAATCAGCTGATACTAACAGCATTCAGTCGCAATTAGTTTGGATTAGCCGTACTCAAGTGTACTTTAGCCCTGTAACACTTGTATTGAAAACAGCCGTTTTTGCTGCAGTATGCAAAAAATGACTCTTAAGAGGCCTATTTTTCATGTTTTAGATAGTAATTAGTTTTAATTTAGGTACCGGTATTTATTGTGTTATTTTTTATACCGTTAAGCATTGGACCATAAACTAAAATAAGTAGTCTGACTTCTGTATGTTGTCCTTTCACCTAACCCCGAATAAAAGTTTAACTTTACTGTCAATTTATTAGTGGATACATGACATCGAATTAGTCTAATTGATCAAAAAGGAAATTATTTATTTATTGTTGCAGTACTATTTGTTTGTTTTACAATAGTATTTATCTACAGGGTTGCCATAAGTTAAATATAGTTTTTATATGCCTTAATATAGTTTTTTTTTTGTCCTTGTACGTTTTTAACACAAACTAGTTCAATAAACTCATTGTTATGTAAAGTTTAAATTAAGCTCAAAAGAAATTACATAATAATCATTTTAGTCCAAGAATAACTTATGTCAACAAGTGTTACAATTCTTACAAATTTAGTTGATAATCATTATCAATAGGTTTACATTTCCACTTGCCTGAACATAATCTATCATTCAAATGCACATGAAGCGAATTTTCTTAACAATAATATTAAATGTGTGCGTTTTGAACAGAAATGGAGGACACTGAGAAAAATCAACAACTAACTTATGGGTTTTTTATGCATTCCAATCATCATCAATGATATATACTGTTTGTAACTACCCATGTTGTTATAGTAATTTTGTGTTGTTACACGTGTGTATTTTAACCAATTGACAGATTTGACACACACTTATTGTAAAAAAACAACTGATAAAGTACACACAGTTTATATCATGAGTTTAAATAAAGATGCTGTACACTTTGTCCAACAAGACAAGACACAACACAACAATAAATCTGTATACAATGTTTTTCCATTGTTGACATATGTAAGGAATATTTTGTTTTGCCGCTCTGCACATGTGCTGCGAATGTTGTTACACCTACTTCCAATAATCCTCCTGTTCTGCCTGAAAATGTTTATTTTTTATTTTTTATCTTTTATAATTTCTCATACAGAGAATAAGCAATTTTCCAATCCAATTTATTTCTCCAAATTATCCATCAAATCATCTTCATAGTTTAAAACAGTCTATTACCACAGTTAATCTACTAGCAAAGAAATAATAATAGCGTTTTTCCAGAATAGTGCAGAAGGCTTACACAAATATTGGTTTCAAGACACATACATTGCTACTATAATTCTTTTTATACAAAAAAGTATGATTTTGTTCATTTGTTTAGTAGGCTATATGTTCTACATTTGAGAACTTTGAATTTTAGAAATCCAATAGATGTATGTCCTTATGTGATAAATTTTCACAACTAGGGCCTATGTTAAATTTTAGACTTTTTAGTATTGCTTTTGTTTGTATTCAGTTCTGTGAATTTAGCATATTTTTATGTAGTAGATTAGCATATTTTTAATTACTATATTTACTATGTGTATATATGCAAATCTTAAAAAATAATCTTTTTAATGTTATGTAGTTTGTGGCTTGATTTAATGGTTAATCTACGTAGTGTCCTGCATATAGCTGAGAAATCCTTATGACGTTAGAAAAATGCATTAGCATTTCATTTCCAAAGTTTATTTTTAATTACCTATCAATGTAATGTAAAGTTTTATGAATTTTATAATGTACATTTATATTCCAATATAGTTATTATTTATGTTTTGATTTTTACATGCATTCCTAAACGATTTGTGGTGCTATTATAAAATATGTTGCATTATATTTTATCACATATGTTAACATGCTTGAAATAATAAGTGTATTTCGTACCTAGGGCCGAAAATGAGATTTTGCCGGCTCGAGATATTTTTTTAAACGATCGGGAGCTGCAAAACCATTTCGGTCCGTGGTAGGAACGCTATTTTTCACCACACTATACCCTATTACCACTATTCACCACAATAATAATGCACACTGATAGTCAACACAACTACAACTTTAAGGTTATGTGAAGAAATAATTTGAGGAATCAGCAAAAATAATAATTAATAGTTGCTAGGCAGCGGTGACAATAATTCTATTGCAATGGATACTGATTGTGTATTTAATATGCATTCATGTTTAAAAAAGTAAGCGGGCAGCTGATTTTGCGGCCCTAGGGCTGTAAAAACCTGCTCGGTCCCCAAATGATGATGACAGCTGGCATGGCCAGCAAAACGTAACTTTCAGCCACCAATCAACGTATGTAAAACAGCTAAAAACATCATAGTGTGGTGAAAAGATATTTTTGCCGTTACACATTTTCATTTTGATGTCCCCAGAGGCCAAAAACACCATTAGTTCAAATTTATATATATATATATATATAGATTTATATATATATATATAGATTTATATATATATATATATATAGATTTATATATATATATATATATATATATAGATTTATATATATATATATATATATAGATTTATATATATATATATATATATTTATATATATATATGTGTGTGTGTGTGTGTCCGTGAACGCGATAACTTGAGTAATTTTTGTCCGATTTTGATGAAATTTGGTTTAAAGGTGTAATGCAAGATAAACTTGAATGAGTTCGCGAAACAGCATGATCGGACCATGGGAACGGGGCTTTACGGGGGAAAAATTGGGTTTTCTCACTTTTGGCCCTCAAAACACAAAATTTCCCAATTTCTCTTTAGACCTTTTTAAAGAGTTCAAAAATAACAAATATGCCTTGATAAATAAAATGTTTGCTGCAGGTTTAAGTTATTCAAACTTTCTATTTCTAAAATGTATACAGTATATGAAATTATTTAGATTCAATGAATATTGCTACTGATACCAACCTTAGCCTAAAAACTGTGGTGATAAGTATTTTTATTTACAAGCAAAGAATAAATTATGTAGAGAGTATTTATGATTCAGTCTGAAAAATCAGTAAAGACGTAAACATTCCTTTTTTAGGATTTGGAGAATTCCTCCTCTAAAACAGTAAGACTGATTAAAGTTATTTAGTTCATCAGCAATGGAGCTTCATATGCATTGTCATTTGTCCTAGTTTGTAATGGTTGACGACTGATAAAACTTCCACTAAGCTTAGCTATTGTTGTCGAGTTTGACATCACCATATATGATGTTTTTTACAACACTATAACAATAACAACCAAGCCAAAATTACTATGAAACAGGTTGTAAACATTTTATTTTCTAAGAAGGTAGGAAATAATATGTACTGTACCTTTTTCCTGAAACCAAGTTAACTTTAATTTGTGTTAGTTGTAATTACTAATGTCAATAAATATTTTTTATTTATTATTTATGTATTCTGAAAACTCAATTGAGTTATTGTTTAGGTACCTTTTATCTATTCACTTAGGCTTATTACTATTCTAGTGTCAAATCTGTTAGCATATAGAAATGAAACTAAAAAGAGAACTAATTGATCAATGTATGAAATTCAATTGGTCTACAGGTTTAATAAAATCCATTTTCATTGGCTGTGTTCTTTTTTATGTACAGGGAGCGGCAGAAATATCTGACGGTTTTCAAGCGAGTACAGTCCGGCAGCCGAGTGGAGGGGGTTGGTGGGGAGTGGCTCATTCTCAAGGCCAAGTGATGCCATTTCAGTCGCCATGGAGCAGTGGACCAGTATACATCGCGCGTTTGCCGTTGAGGCGTTTTTAAAAAATGGCGATTCTGTTGTTGGTACGCAACATAAGTTTCGGAGGCATTTTAATGTGGCTCGTGGGGAACCTATCCCATCCCGAAACACCATCAAATTGTGGGTGGATACCTTTAGATCACATGATCAACTGCAAAACGTAGGCCTACAGGCCGTCCAAGGCCAGTGAGGACGCCTGAGAACGTGGAGCGAGTGCGACAAGCTGTGCTAACGAGCCCGCATCGCCCGGCGCGTAGACAAGCTGCTGCTCTTGGCATGTCTGATCGCTATATTCGACGAATTTTGCACTCAGACCTTCACTTTCACCCACATAAAATAGCAATCGTCGGGTGAAAGTGAAGGCCTGAGTGCAAAATTCGTCGAATATAGCGATCAGACATGCCAAGAGCAGCAGCTTGTCGCACTCGCTCCACGTTCTCAGGCGTCCTCACTGGCCTTGGACGGCCTGTAGGCCTACGTTTTGCAGTTGATCCTGTGATCTAAAGGTATCCACCTACAATTTGATGGTGTTTCGGGGTGGGATAGGTTCCCCACGAGCCACATTAAAATGCCTCCGAAACTTATGTTGCGTACCAACAACAGAATCGCCATTTTTAAAAAAACGCCTCAACGGCAAACGCGCGATGTATACTGGTCCACTGCTCCATGGCGACTGAAATGGCATCACTTGGCCTTGAGAATGAGCCGCTCCCCACTACCCCCCTCCACTCGGCTGCCGGACTGTACTCGCTTGAAAACCGTCAGATATTTCTGCCGCTCCCTGTATTTACTTTTTAAATTGATTATTCGTGTTTATAAGTTAAATATTTATAACTGAAACTCTGAATATGTGTTTTTAACCAGTTTTCAAACAACTGCTGTATTTTCCCAACTCAGTTGCCAAATTGCTTTGATGTGATAGACTTGATTTAAAATTAAGATACATATGAAATAAAATCAGAAAACTGTACTTTAATAATTATCTCATCCTCATGTTTTGTTTGAATGTAGTTCATGTTGCTTCGCCGTCAAAATTAATATTGATTAAACCGCTGTCTTAAAATGTAAACACATTTTGAATCCCATATTTTCAACAAAATCTCTTGGTTAAGCTTCATAAGCATAGGCCTATTATTTTTTATACTGTTTACTCGTCATTTTTTTATAAGGTGCAACTTTTGACTATGAATAGAACCAGACATCTCATTCCCATGTAAAAGCTCCCGTTTATCCAAATCCCACTAATCCGAAAATCCGCCTATTCTGAACTAAAAATTAAAGACATTAGTATGGATCTTTCTTTTTAGAATGGTGGGTTCTTCGGATGGTCACAGTAAAATCGAAAAAATCTTTGCAGTTTGGCGAGATCCCTATCAACTCCTGTGATCGCAGAGACATTGTCATCATCCCCCGCGATTGCGGGAAAACCGTGAACATCATACGCAATGGCAATGATTAATTATTACAGAAATCTGCTTATTCCTGATTCCCGCTAATCCGAACAGGTTTCGGTCGTAGTAAGTTCAGAATAGTGGGACTCTACAGTAGTTGAATTGAGCCACGCACAATTCAGATAAGATTGTAGGTGTTGATGTACTTATGTTGATTACACCAACTTTTCAACCAAGCCAAACGGAAAAGGTAATTTCATTTAAGGTCTTTCATGTTACATCTGCTGTCACAAAAACAAAAAACTTTGGAAAAAAATTAAAATTTTTGACTGTAGTAGTTCACTTAACTAGGTTTTGAGTACAGCTAGTCCATATATCTGTGGGTAGGATGTCAACTTTAGTAACAAAATTCAGTGGTGATAAATAACTTATCCCACAATACCTGTGTGGTATATTAAAATAGTTAAATAATTTTCATGAATATTTTAGCTGTTTTGGATCAGTTGACTTTTTAGGGTTATCAGTATCACCCTACTGAGTCTTAGGCCTTATTCCTACAAAATTTTACTTACTCCATTTTTCATCCTTAGCAGTCTGTTAACAAAACTATGTTAAGTCATTGTTACATATTTCAACAGCCATTGCTTAAACAATGCCTAAGATTGTTAGAAATGGAGATAGGACCAGGTTCCACGTAGGGCTTTCTGTTCACCTTATCTACCATTTTGATTTTCCGCTATAAAAGAAAACCCAGCTTTTTACAAGGATGCCTTGAGCAACACAGTAAAAATGTAAATTTATCATGCTCAATAATTTTATCAATTTATCATACTCAATATAAGCTAGTTTATGTGGTAGTCATTTTTAAGACACTGTGTACAAGTTGTTTCTATGTGAAATATAATACTGTATCTATAAAGTAATACTTGTCATAATTTGCAAAAAGAATGGTTATTTGTTAATAACTTTTAAATACTAGAATTTGTTGTATTACTGACAGTGTTTATTTACAATTGCAAAGGAGTTTATACAGTTTTTTATTATAAAATTTTAGAATATTTTTTATATTTACATAGTGTTGTGTACATAATGTAATGTTAGACTGTACTTCACTATACTGTATAGATATCTTATATCTTTTAGTTAAAAATAAGATTAATTAAGTAATTAAAAAGAACAAATGATGAAAAACCCTAATCATTATGTAAATGCTACAAATTAAAATACCGTATCATCATTTGTACCTCTTAAAGTATAAAATGTGATTTATTTGTTTTTGCAATTAATCTTTTTATTTAGTGGATTGTTTAACGTCTTTAGGGATGAAAAAGACTATAAGTAAGTAGGAATCAAAGTTGATCAATAGTTATCCATAGTGGTCTTTCAATGGCCAATTTTTTATCCGTATAAGTGCAATTTGATTGTGATCACACTCTAAGGCCTAACATGAATACTAGTTACATGCTTCATCAGTATTAGTGTATTAAATGTTCGTCTAATGTATTTTTTTTAGAAGTAAGAGATTATTAACACCATAATTATTATTGTAATGGGTTGTGAGATATGGTTTGAATAAAATTACCTTTTATAAATGTTAAACAGGTTGTAACCAAACTGATTCCCATACTCCAAATTAAATATACAAATAATACAAATAACAAATAAAGTTCATTTGAAAACTTTCCATGTCTGTTGTGTGCAAAGGTAAAGCTTTTAACACTTGTTTGTTCTCATTTTCCCCTAATTTGGACATGCCAAATCCAATAAAATTATTTTCAATTTTGAAAAATGCCCCAAAAGGGCCCAACTGTGGGAGATGATTAAGATGTCTACAGGACAGTGGGAGATACAATAATGATTTCTACACGGCCACGTGGGATGATCACAATTATGCAGCGATCGCTCAAGACGATGATGATATCCACACAACTGCGGGGGACGATATAATGATGTGTTCACGGCCGTGAGGGGTGGTCAGAATTTGACCAAGACGAGGATAATGTTCTCACGACCGCGGGAAAAGATCAGAATTTTGCCTCATTCGCGGTAGACGATGATAATCTCCTCACGACCACGGGATATGTTCATATATTGCCTCGATCATGGAAGATGATAATTATGTTTCAACGACCCGACTGTGGAAAATAGTAAGAACCTTGCCGCAAACGCGGGAGACGATTACGATGTCTACACGGCCGCGAGGGATTATCAGAAGTTCACCGCGATCGCATGCAAATACATCCACCATTTTTGTTTATTTTCCAAATTTTT